GGGGGGGGGGAAGGGTGGGGGGGGGGCGGGAAGAGACTGGACAAAAATCGTACACCTATGGATGAGGACAGTGGGGATGTGGGTAAGGGCAGTGGGTGGGGTGGGAACCGGGTGGAGGGGAGCTATGGGGGGAAGAAAGAGGGAACAATTGTAATACTCTGAACAATAAATATTTAATTAAAAAAATAAATGTACCACAGCTTTTTAATCCACTCATCTACTGATGGGCATTTTGGCTGTTTCCAGATCCTATCTAGTAAATAATGCTGCAATAAACATAGGGGTGTGTATGTTATTTTGAATTATTAATATTTTGGGTTTCTTTGGATGAATTTCCAGAAGTGGAATTGCTGGTTCATAAGGCACTTCCACTTTTAATTATTTGAGGAACCTCCATACTGCTTTCCACAGTGGCTGCACCAGTCTGCATCCCCACCAACAGTGCACAAGGGGTCCCTTTTCTCCACATCCTTGCCAACACTTGTTGTTTGTGAATTTATTGATGATAGCCATTCTGGCATATATGAGGCGATGTCTCATTGTGGTTTTAATTTGCATTTCTCTGATGATTAGTGACATTGATCACTTTTTCATATGTCTATTGGCCATCTGTAAGTCCTCTTTGGAAAAGTGTCTATTCAGGTCCTTTGTCCATTTTTAAATTTGATTGTTTTTTTTGTGTGTTGAATTTTATAATTCTTTATAAAATTGTGGATAGTAACCCCTTATTAGATGTATCAGCAAATATGTTCTCCCATTCATTCAGTAAGTTGTCTTTTCATTTGTTGATGGTTTCCTTTGCTGTGCAAACACTTTTTAGTTTGTTGTAGTCCAATTTGTTTATTTTTTTCTTTTGTTTCCCTTGCCTGAGGAAATATGATGTGTTTGAATTGTAGAAGCAGAGACTGTCCATTTTGTAGCTCCTACATCTACCACACAGTGGATGCTGTGTTGCATGAATGAGAGAAAAAAACGTATAGTTTAAAGCAGAAAAATGGATGAGCGGAACCAAGAATAGAGTATGTGCAGAGGTAAGAAAAGAAAGCCAAAGATCAGGCCTGGGTGAGTGCCCTCCATCAGGGGAGGGGCAAAAAGAATGGAAAGAAATAGTGTTGGAGAGGTAAGAGGGGAACTAGAGACAAGCCTGAGAATTTTCAAAATCTGTATTTCTTAGACCCATGAAGGAAGCTTTCTTGTTGCTTCAGAAAGGTCTGTAGTCTTAGATATTTTTTCAATATTTAGGAAAATATGGATCTGACCTGCCACCTGGAAAAAGCTACTAAACGCGACGACATCAAAAAAGCAGTGAAGCAAGCATCAGAGGGCCCCCTCAAGCGCACCCTGGGTGATACTGATGACCTGGTTGTCGCCTGTGACTTTAATAGTGACAACCACTCCTCCACCTTTTATTTTTTCTGGAGCTGGCATTGCCCTCAATGTTCACTTTGTCAAGCTCATTCCCTTTTTTGACGATGAATTTGGCTACAGCAATAGAGTGGTGGGCCTTATGGTCCACATGACCTCCCTGGTAAGAGCCCCTGGACTAGGAGCCCCAATGAGAGAAAGAGAGGCTCTCACTGCTGGGGAGTCCTTGCCCCCAGTCAGTCCCCCAACACATTGAGAACCTCCTCACCTCCATAGTTTCCATCCCAGACTTCCTGAAGAATGGGGGGCGGGGGGGCTTAGGAAACTCCACCTTGTCATGTGCCATCAATCAAGTTCACTGTATCCACCAAAAATAAAAATTGACTACCAGGTCCCATTGCTTTGGGTCTTTTGCAATGTCATTTTTTTTTTCTCTCATAGTGCAGTCCCATGAGACGTCTGAGTTAGAATCACCTGAGTCATTGCTAAATCTAGATTCCCGGGTCTCATTCCAAATTTCCTCAATCATACTTTGGTGTACAACCTAGAAATCGGCATCTTTATAAACTCCGAGGTGATTAATATGCATACTAAAATTTCAGAGTCAGCGCCATATAATAAAAATGACCAAGAAAAAAAGGTCCGGCTAAAAATGACCAGAGATAAGAACAGGTACATGAATTTAAAACTCTGATAGATTCATGGTAACATGCTTGGCATTGTGCAAAAATGAAAACCAAGGCAACACTCTGAGCTGAAAATATATTCTGGAACATGCTCTGAAAAATCTATTTTGAACAGTGAGTTTAATTTAGCTCTGACTGCATTCAAACCCAGGGGCACCAAGTTGCAAAGGAACCAAAAAGCAACATGGCCTCTCCTTGTGGCAAGCAAGGGCTGTGAGAGGTCAACATACTGATCTGACATTGCAATTTAAAGCAGTGCTTTTCCAGTTCACATACTTTCTCTTACCCTACAGTTTTTGGAAGCAGAACAGAAAAAGACAATCTTTTGACGCATTATTATTTTCACTTTTAGATCACCACCGTTGCCTTTTCCAACACCTGAATCAAAAAGTCTCAACAATTAACATTATAAATTAAAAAGAGAGGAAATCCCAGGTAACGATGTCCTATATAATAAAAGAGAAACATGTAAATTGACAATCCCTCTGCTGCT